TTCTCTGTTATAGTACCCTTAATTAAAAACATGATTCCATTTATAACATAGTAATGCTGTAGACTGTTACAGTTCTGTTATAGTACCCTTAATTATAACATGATTCCATATATAACATAACAATGCTGTAGGCTTTTACAGTTCTGTTATAGTACCCTTAATTATAACATGATTCAATACATAGCACAAAAATATCATGGGATTACAAAAATGATCTTAGTTTAACACTTCTTGAAGCATGCATTAGTTAATGCTGCCTTTAATATCACACAGTGCTTGAGTAAATAAACAATTATAGTATAATTTGTAATTAAGACAAGCAATCATAACTCTCAAATATGGCCTGCCAATAGATATAAAGCCACATCAGTAAAATATAACTAGATTTTGAAGCTGATGCTTATTTCCAATAAATAACCATCAAACATACTATTAAGAACAGGCCTTGTTGCCTCTGACTGCTTGCCATTAACACTAACACAACAATAAAACTGAAAATAGATAGCAAAGTCAACTGGGGTAAGAATCACAGCAGTAAAGATGTACGTATAAACATTAGTGGAAATTTCCATAATTCAAATCCAGAGCAGATCTCGTACAAAATGAGAATGTGGTTCTTGCTTTTTCCTCTGTGTTGTAATCAGCATTTATAATAGAAAGAGTGTGCTGGTTGAAATAGCAATATTTTCTTAGTACAGATTGACCATATTGGCTTTTCACCTACACATGTGAGAACTAATTAGGATTAGTACTACTGGTCAAAGACCAGAAGATTTTAAGCAGTGGTTCAGCATGCATTGTCCATTATCTTCCCATATGCCTATCATCCATTGGTAATTTGTTATCACTGTTTGTCCCAAGTTACTTGTACTGAAGTCATGAAACTTGGCACAGTTTTATCTTAAGGTCTAGTTGGTCATATATTTAAATAGTTTACCTTGATATCTGTTATGGCCACTATTGTAGCCAACATGAAAATTTTGTTGGTGCCATGTCTCCAGAACAGACGGGCATATTAAAACACTTCTTATGCCATCTCGAGGCAATGTGGTGCCCCAAGCAAAATAGACATTTGGTGTCACCCCACCCCCAAATTAAAATATTTGCTGATAAGAAGGCTTGTAAAAAAATTGATGTAATTGAAAAATAAAAAGATCTGAAATACAAAGAGTTTCATAAGAAGAAAATACAAAGGTTTTGTTTAATTTTAGCAACCATTTCTGAATTTTGGGACTTCAATTTGGCACCCCTCTAAAATGGCTCCCTACACAATCACATTGCTCACACATAGCTTGTACTACCCCAGCATATATTTGTGGCTTCTCCTCTTAAACTCTTCAACAAATATTCACTAAAACACTAAATGAAAATGGTGCCAAACTGCCATGTAACATGATCACCTTGGAAATCTTGTAGCAACTCTTCCCAAACAGATAGTCCTTTTGCCACAGGGTTGTAATAAAGAAAATTCTTTTTAAAACTAGTTTGCCATCTTTCAAATCTTATTATTAGTCCTCCTGAATGCATGATCATATTGACAGTAAGTTTTTTAAAAGACCTAATGTGATATGTATATGGCTATAAATAAAAACTGCCAAACTGACATCTTGCACTGCTACATGGTGACCATTTTGAAAATTATTGTTTTTGCTTCTAGTCCTGGATAAATGGTTGTATTGGGGTTTTAACCTAAATACTTTTTCTTATATGTTGATTATTCTAAATAAAATTTGGTGCAGATTTGACATTCAACAAAGCCTTTGTCCATGGTTACTTCAGTTACAAACATGGCACTGAAGTATTTATTCATGGGTCACAACAAATAGCCATATATGGCTTCTTTTTTTCTCATTCATCAAAGGTTTCTCACATAAATCATTGATCATTTGATCTTGGCAAGGTGAGCCAATGGCTAATCCAGATAGTTTTTTTAGCATGAACAAACTAAGATCAGTATATATTTTTAAAGTTTGGTTTGACTTCATTAATACTTGAAAATAAGCAGAGTACAGTAATCTTGTGTGGAACATAAATTTGGTAGATCAACCTGTACCTGTAATTATGATTTTGTTGTACAGTGCACATGAAACACTCTTGATAATAATGATAATAATAATAATAATAATGAGTGAATGTGATTTAGAATTTTAGAATTTTAATGTAGCTTTAAAAAATTACAATCATATCACTACAATGTCTGCAGTGTGCCAGTTTATAGTGATGTCTAGCACAGATGCATCATGCCACAGACATGTAGCATGATGTCCCACCCAGTCACATTATCCTGACACCAGACCAACCAGTCCTAACACTAACCTCTTAATGCTGAGCGCCAAGTGAGGCAACTGTTAGTACCATTTTTTTTTTAAAAGTCATTGGTATGACTTGGCTGGTAACCACTAATAATAATGATATTTGGTGCATGGTATTTGTTCAACAGCCAATTTTAAAAGGTGAACCAGTGTGGCTGTTGTGTATGGTTTTACTCTTCTTTTAAAACTGAAAAACTGCAAGTCTGTAACATTTATGCATCTTGGAATGAGTAACTGTGACCAATTTTAAAAATGTACATTATTTGAACTGTACCTGATTATTTGATATGACACAATTATATCAAAGAATAAACCATTTGCAAACACATCACTAAAAATTGTATTCAGTCTTTTTATTCTTAGAGCACCAAAATGTAACCAGAACTTTTAATTTCAACCAATTTAATAAATACACCTCTCCCTCAATAACTTGTACACAACAGGATATAAAACAGACTGTACTACTATAAGTGAGAGACCTCCATAACAATGAAATGATGCCATCCTCAATGGACATAAAGAAAACTAATAATGAGGGAAGGGGGCAAACTGGTCTGTTTAATGGCTGAATACTTGTAAAATCATTTTGCCAATAATTGTCAATAAAGTGCTTTCTAACCAAGTTATTCATTTTTATGTAAAAATAACCTTTATTTTCAAGATGTCCAACTGCTGAGAGACTGTTAACATCATTCCAACTGGTTTCAACAACCATCATGTGTACCCGAAAACATGTATACATCACTGCTTTATGTTGTTGTTGAGTAATCTGGCTTCCTGATCCTTATGCTCCCTGATTTGCTGTATACTATAGTGAAATGCTATACAATGGGAACCAGACTACTTATTGATTGAAAATCATAATCATACAAGATTTGTTTATTTAAAACAACAAGAAAATGGAACACTTAGCTCATGAAATGGCCGTCATCATTGAAAGTCAATTTTTTATTATTCTGTTAGTTAAAATATTGATTCAACGATTTAATGGTAAAACTTTTTCGTCCATGAGAAAATGTCAGAGTGCCAATTCAATAATTACAATTTAACTAAAAACTCTGCAACTAATGAAATGGGTCTGTGAAACAAAATTTTGTCATCAAGTATTTATTTCGCTTGGTTGTCTTGCTATCTTTGATCAGTTGTAAATGAGTATGCTCATTTAAGGTAGTTTAATTATATTACATTCACAAATATATATATATATATATATATATATATATATATATATATATATATATATATATATATATATATATATATATATATAACATTGTTTGATGACCTGACACTCTAGCGGGGCAGCTAGCTCTTACACAGGTTGGATTTGCATGTTGTGTAATTTTTCATATATTCCACCCAATTTATTTGATATAAGAGATTTATTAATGTGGTATTTCAAGGGGGTCAGCTTTTTAATTCAGTGCAACAATACAACAAATACTTATGCAAATTAGGTATCAAAACTTTGTTGGCACTTAATTAGGTTCTCAAAGAAACGCTCACAAACTTTGATGTTACAGTTATTGACATTTCACATTTGAATACAACAGGATACATTGTATTTATGATTATTACAATTAAACTGTACTAAAACATACAACTAAAACACACTTCTTTTTCTAAAAATGCATATTTAATTGGTATTTAATTATCATAGTGCTGCTTCAAGAAAGGCATTGGTGACATTTTCAACTATCAAAATTTTGTTGCATACTTTTTTCAGTGTACCGAGAATGTTGTTTGGAAAAATGTTAATTTCATAATTTTGATTCAAATTTCCAGGTCATAGCAACCATTTTTGATGATAAAACGAGTGATATATCATGGTTTAATTTACCAATTTTGATGGCAAATTTCTTCATGCTCAACAAAAGGGGTCAAATTATTGGAACTTTCTAGTTTTAAAAAAATGATATCTACGACTGCCCCCATGTTAACCCCTAGTTATAAGTGGTTTCACCAGTTACCAGGGTGTGAGTTATCGAGAGATTTTGTACCTGAAAATAAGATTACACGTAACATAAAGTATATATCAAAAACAATTTCATGATTTTCATTGGTTTGAAATTACCTTATGTATATAAGTAAATAAATAAATAATTCATGGTTATAGTGATATATATCATATTATTTTTGATTATTTCCTTAACTCTGAACAGTCATCATTTATCTTTAAACCCAAAAAGTAATACTTGCTGATTTGAAACAAATATAAAATCCAATAAGACAACAAAAACATTCATTCATCTCTCTCTCTTTCTCTCTCTCAGCCCATTTAAAATGTACAGGTTAATACCATAAAAAAAATCATTACTGGTTGCAGTAAAGTTTATCAGTTACATTTACACAAATCTGTAACTGGAAAAGACTAAATCAAAGAATTTACAATGTATTTATTAGGTTAAATCAATTATTATATGATATTGTAACTACAAGTAGTCTATCCCATCGTTATTACCAATCACATAATAGCATTTTCACAAGATCTGCTAATCAATGGAATCAACCATAAGAAAGTAACAAATCCTACTTGAAAACTACCTTTTCTTCCAATCTAGATTGCTCACCATAATAATTGAAGACAATGGCAATTTTGTGGCGTGTCTGACCAGTCCTAACACTAACCTCTCAATGCTGAGAGCCTAGCGAGGCAGCTTTTAGTACCATTTTTAGAAGTCTTTGGTATGACTCTGCCATGATTCAAATCTGTGACCTCCTGCTCACAAGGCAGACATTCTAACCACTAGGCCACCAGAGCAGTTGCAGTGTTGCTTAAAAGTGTATACCGTATTTACAACTTAACATGTATACTCCTAGCCACCTAAAATGAATCGGATAAACCAACAGTCAACTCAGTAACAAATACAATCCAGAATTAAATGATTACATAACTTGCAACTATGAAGTAATTAGTAGTCTTCAGCACCCACTGTAACATTATCATACAAAAAATAATTTTAGACTAAAATGATCTTGCCTATTGAAATGTCCCCTGTGAAGAGGCACAATAGAGATGAATAAAAAGAACATTTTTTTCCTATAATTTCATTATAAAAATACATATAATAAAATTAGTTCCTAAAAGCCATAGATTACACTTTTTTCTTTAAGATTAGAAAAATATGATTCATAAGTTATTACCATTGTCCTTCCCAAGAAACCAGATTTTGTTAGTGGGTGGATGCCACTAGCTTTGAATGAACTCTGAGTGAAAGTAGGGGGTGACCGTATGTGTATTTTGCCACCAGATACCGGATCCGGTTTAGTTGGGGCAATATTTGCTGGATCCGGATCCAGATATCACTGCTTACGTGCAACCATCACTGCTTGCAAGCCTCAGTTAGTCTACAGGGGCTTGTATCGTTGCTTACAATTTACCGTCGTACATGTACTATATAATAAATACAAGGGAGGATACTTCTGTCCTTTCTGGCATGACCTATTTAGGAGTAAACGCTGATATTTCAAGCAATGTTTCGTGTAGCATAATAAATCTGGTACCGATGTTTAGCTCTGGCATTCGACTTTGTATGTGTATCCGCTAGTTAACTTCGGCATAGCTTAATCACTATCTGTTGATGAAAAAAATATTTGCACCACGCCGCCACCTATTGATTAAAAAATAATGCCCCAGATTCACTAAGCAGAAATCCAGATACGGATTTTTTTGACTATAGAAAACCGGCAAATCCGGATGTTGCTGGATACTTCACTATATGGCTGGGGTGAATGTCCGGAGCGGTTTCCGGTCACCCCCTAAGTGAAAGCCAGTATGACTATTATAGTAGGCAAAGTTCATGCATCAGGACTATCTTAGATTAGTGACTACAACTAGTGGAATGAAATGCATCCAGTCCACTCTTTGAATACCAGCTCAAGACATTCAAATTTACAATGCAAAGTTAATCTGTTGAAAGTAACCTACATTATCAAATATACAATATATAGTTTATAATACTAAAAGCATGCAACTGAATAAACATATTAGCACTTTCATAATTGACCTTGATAACATCACAGTGCTATTGCAGTGTATGGCACAATACATGAGAACTGTGAATGGCATTGTCAACTACGGCTCAACAATTCAAACACAGCAAATTATCACATATCTTTTATCATGTCAAATTTTCACATTTTATCATTATAAGTCTATTAGATACATTTTTCATACATTTTAGCAATAAAAACTCTTGTCCACATTGCCTCTATGTAATCCTACCACTCACTTTAGTCCACCTCTATATCTTAACTGTATACCAGAAATTGATTCCAAATAATTTGACAATGATAAAAAAAATTTACTAAACAATAGTCTCCCATTTAAAAAGGGTATCACTTTGCATATCTCACTATATGAAATGCACAAAAGATGAGAAACTGTTTGTTCATACCATTAGCAGTAGAACACAGACTCTGATCTGCTGGACCAGGGCAGATCAGTGCAGCTGACTTACACTGTGACTTGTACACAAGTATATACTGTAATCACATAATAAAAAAAATATTAGTCTAAGTTTCCTGAGCATGTTTCATCAAAAGCCTGACCTAATAACAAATGAAGAAATACTGCGTGCAATAATGTAACTAAAGTTTGACACAATGATACTACAGAATTATTTTCCAGGAAAGCTAAGAAAACCATCTTCCATCATATCCAACTACATTTTGGACTGAATTTTTCCCTGAATAACAACACCTTTATCAATTAATGCCTTAATCTCACTCTGTGAAAACTCTGATTCCAATAACACTTCTGTTGTGTTCTGTCCAGTAACAGGTTGGTCTTCCATAATGGGGTCAGCAGGTGTCCTTGACAATTTAGGAGCTGGGCCAGGCTCTAGTTCATTTTTCTCATTTCTTACAAATGTATTATTAGTTTGGTTATGATCATGTTTAGCAGCTTCATCCATTTCTAGCACAGGAGCAACACATGCATCCAAATCTTTATAAACTTTAACCCATTCATCTCTTGTCTTGGTAAGAAATATGTCCTGGAATTTCTTCCTCATTTCTTCTGGGTTACTAAGCTGAGATATCTCTTTTGGTTTAAATCCTAGACCTGTAGAAGTTTAAAAAAGATGGTTTAATGGAGTTTATAATCAAATTTGTTTTACTGAAGAAGAATAACTACAACAACTGAATAAACAAGAAAAATATAGAAACAAAAATATCAGATGCAACAAAAGCCTAAAATGAAATTTTTGATGGGGTAAAACTAATGTTAATTATGTAATACCTACCTGCTGTATTTGCATTGCTATATCTTTTCCTAGTGCTAGTCCCCAGTCCAGGGGATTATTCCCACTTCCAGTAAGTAACTTGAGGTCTAGAATACAAAACAATTTGATCCCAGTATGTAAACTTAGTCAACTTCTGAAAACTGGAATATCCATCTTGAATTTCTCTGAATGTTACAATGGTTGCTGAAGACTGCAAGGATATGAGAATGGAAGGGAGGGGGGAGTTGTGTAATATTAGAACATAAGTATTACATAATTACCGGTAAATGTTTTAACACCAAGAAATTAAATTTTAATACTGGTCATACCCACAAAAGAGATATGAACAGCCTAAATAAATATTTATACACCACTTGTGGAAATGGAGTGTGTCTTTCAGTGATAAAGATGAAGAAGCAAATCCCTTCATGGCCTTACAGGTTTGGTGACTTTCCACTATGTCCCATACCTTGTCAAGGCAGAGGCAAAACATACAGCAACCAGTCATGAATACATATGCTGTTCATGCTAAGTAGCCATTTATGCGTGAATTTAGCCATACCTTAAGGCATAATGAATGCTGAAAGGAAATAAAAAATAAAAGAATAACCTGAACAAGAATTGGGCAAGTAATGCTTACTCTAACACGAAAATGCATTGTTTTGCTAACGATGTAGCTAAAATCTTAAATTACTTGAAAAGGTGCACAGACACCAACAAAAATTATGCAAGGACTGGGGAAAAAAACAAATAAAACAAAAAGAAATGGTTGACATTAGAAATAGCAAAAGTGATTTAGATGATGAAAGCATTGACCTCCCACGAGACAAATTAGACTACTTGCAATCCAAGGAAAAGAAGGATAATATTCCAATTGTCAGAGGCTGATTAAGGTATCAGACTGGGTCATGTTTTTTTTTTAATTCTAGATCTCCAATTACTACTTGGAAAATGAAATAATCTCCTTTGAATAGTACCAGGAAAAGATATAGCAACACAATAAAAGCAGGTAGTGTATTATTGCTATTAAAATATTGATTGAGTTATATTTCTCAGTATGGTTGCCAGCAGATACTGAGATTTGTTTGCAAGGGAAACTAATATCTTGCAGAGATGCCAACCATTCTGAATACTGTAAAATGAAACCTGACAGTCTGATGGTTAACAGATGAAAAATGGCAGAGAAAAAAAGGAGAAAAGAAAGATGCCTGTAATTCACATCAAAAAATGGTTATTGATCTGGACAACAAGTAGAAAGAATTAAAGGTTTTTAAATTGTTGGAATGGATAAATATTTCTTCTCAATGGATCATCATTGTTACAGATGGCTGTTCCGGCAAAACATGCTTGACTCACAGGGAAGGCCTGTCAATGTTGAGTAGTCACCCTTACATGCAACTGATAATTCGTTATTATTATCTAGAGTACTCCAAGCATATATTTGGAGAGAAAGAAAAAAACTGCCTTTCCAAGGTTTAAATGGAACAGACTGGTATGTAAGTACTCACAGGAAGATGCAATATGATTGCACAAAATTATGTTACTATGAATTAACATTTTATCTATTCCAGACATAGTGCCTAATTCCCAAAACATATATCAATATGATCACAGAAAATTTCACATGCTATTAATTAATAATATATCCATTCCAGACAGGGTGCCTAATTTCCAAAACAATTTTAATATGAACACACAGATGTTCACTGGTATTAATTTATGTTGCATCCATTCCAGACTGGTTGCCAATTTCCAAAACATGTATGCCACAGTTGCAGATAAGCATTCTCATCAGTTGACATCACTGCATGCAGTCAATAAAAGTTAGTCCTCTAAACCAATATTTCCAAAGACTGATGATTAAGAATTTCTAATGTCAGAAACAGATCAAGGGCTCTGACTTCAATGGAATTGCCTCTAATACATGTATCACATAAGTACCATTCAATTTCAAAGCTGCTTTATGTTTTGGACCCTTTTTGCTCTGAACATAATCAGTATCAAATAACATTTTTCATTCATCACAATCTCTGGCTTTGAACTTCTTTACAAGTTATTATTATTCACAATGTATTGGCATTTTTTCTTTTTGTTACTTCATGTGCAGGAAATAAAAATCATACCTTTAATTAAATCCTGGAAGAACTGTGGTTCTAAAGCTCCTACAGAAATGTATTTGCCATCAGCTGTTTTATATGTATCATAGAATGCTGAACCTCCATCTAGTACATTATCACCACGCGGCCTTCCCCATATATATATATCCCTCGATCTCCACAACCAATTTGCTGAAAGGATAATGTCTCATTCAACAATGCTGCATACGTATTTGTATGTAAGAATATACTGTAAAGTCTGGATAATACTTCCTGTATTTATGAAGCAATATTGAGTACATATGTGTGCATAAAAGAAACATCTGGAATGTAAAATCTGGATTATGCTTCCATATTTATGTAGCAATAATAAGCATATGTGTATGAAAAAAGAAAAGCCTGGGATGAAAATTCTATGTTATGCTTCTTATATATATAGTT